TTTCCCATTTAATTAGTCCCACCTACCATTTAATAAAGTTAAATAAAGTTTAATTAATTCTTCCATGAATTAGGAAATAATTTTATTTATTGAAAATTGAAGTTGAAGGACATTCTTGGTATTTTCTAAAGTTCAAGGATGAATTGGTTCAAAAATAAAAGTTGAGGGACCAATTCAGGTATTTAACCTAAAAAATATATTAGCCACGTCAACATCACTATTCAATTAATCCTTAAATAGAAAAAGTTGAAAGTTGAAAGTTGAAAGTTGACATCCTTAAATAGAAAAAAGTTGAAAGTTGACATCCTTAAATAGAAAAAAGTTGAAAGTTAACATCCTTATTTAGAAACTGACAAAATTAACATCTTTATTTAGAAAAAAATTGAAAGTTAACATCCTTATTTAAAAACTGTCAAAATTAATATCCTTAAATAAAAAAAAGTACAAAGTTGGAATCCTTATTTGGACCTTTACTCAACTTTATTGTTTATGAAACTTTGGTTAGGTTGGACTGCGCATTCATGTGCCCATCAATTAAGAGTCCTATTTGTGTGCTACTAAGTTGTATTTACATTTATAATATTATAAGTATTTATTTATTTAATAATATATAAAAATTATACAAAAATTTATTCAGGTGTCATAATTCATTTCTCTTAAATAATAGTTAAGTAGTAGTTGAAGTTGAAGGAGATGGATTGAATGAGAAATTGAACTAACCGGAAATGTTTGGTATGTGGCAACTTTTGTTTCTTCGTCTTCACTCCTCCAGCCGCTGATACATCAACATTGTAAAGAAGCGATGGATCTGACGGTAAATCCAAATGCCTCTTCCTCACTGCGGCGACGAACACCGCCGCAACCTGTGTCAGCGGACTACCCACCAATTTCTTGAACCGGTACCGCCGGGTTCCCGATAAGAACACGATCAACCCAACAATAATAGCACAGGCGATGATGCCGTACCCCCATTTACGCCCCTTGTTGTCCTGTATGTACACCAAAACCGTCACAGCCAAGAGGGACCCTATGCTTATGAGGAAGAAGAACCAATTGAAGAACTTTGTCATCTTTTTGCTCTCTTCGGGGTCCGAATCATCGAATTGGTCAGACCCAAAACCTGAAACGCTAGATTTCAGACCGCCGGTTCCCAGGGCCGTCACGTACAGGGCCAGATAGAGAACAATGAGTTGTATTCCGCTCGCCTGGATGCAGGGTGTGCCGGTACCCGGAGTGCACTTCGGCGGCCGTAGACTGGGAATTGTTGTAGAGACTGTCAAGATTGTAACACCCTGTACCCCAAAAATGAAAAACGAAATTAACACAATTCCTCGAAATGTCTCGAGTTCGAACATTGGAATTCAGGGGAAAGGCTGCAATGACGAGCTTACAGTTGCTTGAACTGCTGCGAAGATTGCGATGGTGAGATACCTGCCGAGGAAGGTATCGGCTACAAAGCCACCGAGTAGACACAGCATGAAGGAGGTGCCAAAGAAGTTAGTGACAATGTTGGCAGAGGTTGCGTTGCCCAAATGCATGGTACCAGTCAAGTATGTCACCAAATTAACAGCGATGCCTAACGTTGTTAGCCTCTCGCATAGTTCAACACCTGAGAGATATCGAAATCCTTATGTGAATTGAAGAAAAAAATAAAAAACATAATTATGAAGAGAGAAATAGTGTAGGTAAGGAAGGATTGAATACCTAAAATCATGGCGGCACTGATCCAACCTCCAGTCTTGGACAGGTGGGCGGGGCGGCCCTTGTAATCCCAGGCATCGGAGATGGTTTTTCCTTGAGTCTGAGGAAGGCTCATGGTTTGATTAATTGCGGTATAGATGTTTGATTTAGGAAGGTTTTGCTGCAAAATGGTGGGCAGCGGCTAAACACAGGGTAGTAAGGGAAATGGAAATTGGTGGCACAAGAAGAAGATGTGCACACAGGCTTGTGCTCCATTTTTATAGTGCGGTGATATAAGAAGTTCATTTTGAAGGAAATAAATTCATTGGATGGATTAATGTTTAGTTTGAAATGACACAAGAATTTATGATTTCCATTTGTAACTTTGGAACCATGGTTAGGGGAAAAGGTTGGTTAGGGAAAGAGAATGGTTAGGTGACAACTGATTAATTAGTTACAACTTCTGGTAAATCCTTTTAGAAACATTATAGAAATATTTTATACAACCCGAATAATCTCAAATTGTGTAATATTGACAATTGGATAGTTTAATTCTTCTAATATAAAAAAGTAGATCTTCTCATCTAATAGTCTTAATCTTGTAGTATTGATTATATTATAAAATTTTTAAGTAAGAAATTTGGTGTAATTTGTAATTTTGGATAAATTTGAATTTTAATGACTATTTTCTTAAAATTTAAGATTAAGATATCTTCAAGTCAACTTAATTTTGTGTAATTCAAAATTAATTTTTTGTTGACTTATGTTAATAATACACCTTCTACACCTATATTAATTAGTACATTCAAAGAAAATTAATTATCATTAACCACCCCCAACACTTCAAACGCTAGATCAGACCTATTAGATAACATTTGGTTTTCAATAAATTCAACTTTTGAAGCTTTTTGAATTTAAATAATTAATAAACAAAATAATTACGTAAGGGGATAGAAAAAAATGGGGAAATAAAAACATAATGCGGTTTCGGTTATGCTCACGATGAGGGGAACGTACTAATATAAATGGAGTGTATTGTCCTAAAATTAAATTTTTTAATAAATAAATATTATTTTATATATCAAAATTAATATAAAGGCACTTTTTTTATGGGAAAACATAAGAACACTTTAATCATAAAAAAAAAAAAAATTAATAAACGACGTATCCATGTGAATATGCTGATTGAACCTCGATGTGACAAATGATCATGCAGAGGATTTGAAAAAAAAAAGAAGGGAGAATAGATCGACGGCCCAAAAAAATGGAGAACAGATTGATGGACCCAAGTCATGGGCCGAGATCCGCCTTTGCAATCCAATGATTTTGCGTCCAACCAAAGTGGATTACGTAATTTTGGGCCCTATTCGATTAGCTGTGTTTATAATTTGAAGAAGGGATATCTCATCTACCAATTTCCTTCATTAGGCTTATGAAGGTTCCGAATATAAATAGCACAAGCTCTAGGATGTTACATATCACACTGAATTGCAATGAGAAATGCAATCTCATGTAAGAATTATTGGACTGTGCGAAACACACATAATTATTGAACAGTAAACCAAATACAACGAAGAAATTAGAGGACCATTACATAATACAATGCGCACAACAAAGTTACTGCAGACACAAAAAAGTTAGCAATGCAAAGAACATGTCTAGGTACAAGTGAGGGTAGGGGATGGGTTCTTGACAGGGATGTTACTTAGGTGTGTTAGTCAGCCCGCACATGGCTTCTAAAGGGGTATTATGCCAAGTTAGTATAGCAGTATCTGTCCCATAATCTTAAAAATGCACCATCTTACATTGGCAAAATCTTTAAATTTAATTTATAATATGATATTAGATCTAATCAATAGGATTTTAGTATATTGGTATTAACAAGAAAGAAATGTCTCTTTGGCATAATCGATCATCAAATGCTTCCACAAGGTGTGAATGGAAGGAAAATTAATAAATTAGCGTGACAACTTTGCATTGGATTTTTTCTTTTAAGAAAAAAAAAAAGGGAACATGAGATGCAGATCTCCGTATGGATCTACAGTAGTGGAGCCATCGTACGTAGGAATTCCCTTCCACCAAGGAAACGACCAATTCATAAGAGGCCAAAATTAATGAACGTCACTACGTACATACCAGAAACGACTAGAAACAAAGAATTTTGCTTTCCTAAACATCAATTATTTCATATATGTATGTGTTTAAAGCAGAAAAATCCACATGAAACAACCTGTCAACCGCTCCGGATCAAAATGTTTCTCATTTATAATTCATACACATTTCCAAACGTCGCTGTAAAAGATTTCTCTCTGTATTCCATTAGGACCATGATTGGTGCATACCCGGATTCAACACCTAAGTGTGCACATTCCACATAAAAAAAAATGAACCGGGTGTTTTTCATTTTTTTTTTTTTTATGCGGAGTGTGCACACCCGGTTGTTAAATCCGGGTGTTCACACATCATTTTCCATTCCATTATTAAGCCACACACAGTCTGGATAATATGGGCGTAGCAAATACAGCAATTTTGCAAATCCCCACATCACCACAAACATCCAAAATTTTGCCCCAGATAATGTTTTGCTTTGCCAGCTAAATTTTCAAAACTTATTACACATGGATATCTATCCAATTTAATTTTATAAAGCAATTTATTTTCTGTTAACATCAACACGCAACCAACTACTCCCCCCTTGAAACCCTATAAAACCCCACCCTTTCCTTCAATTCTCTCCATCCTCTCAAACTAAGCTGCTTCTACTACTGGCTCTAGTATTACTGCTATTAACTATCCGCTACATACCATAGCTAGTAGTACCATATCCAAGAAGCTTTTGGTGGTATTTGAGATGGCTTCCAAAAGCTCAACATCATTTCCACTCTTTCTCGCTCTCAATCTCCTCTTCTTTGCCTTTGTAAGTGCTTGTGGTACCTGCACTTCCCCTAAGCCAACGCTAAAGGCCGCTACTCAGGGCACTTGTCCTAGAGATGCTCTTAAGTTCGGAGTGTGTGCAGATTTGCTTGGTTCTTTGCTTAGCATCAGCATAGGGACACCCCCAAAAACCCCATGTTGCTCTCTCATTGAAGGCCTTGCCGATCTTGAGGCTGCTGTTTGCCTTTGCACTGCCATTAAAGCTAGCATCATGGGGATTAACCTTGATGTCCCGCTCTCGCTCAGCTTGCTTCTCAATGTCTGTTCAAAGAATGTTCCCTCGGACTTCCAATGTGCCTAATGGTGCTGCTTTCTCTCCCATTTGCTTGTTCTATGGACGTGTGTTTAATTTTTAGTACTCTTCTCGTTTATGCATTATCAGTGTGTTAATTATTGAATAAGTGATGGTGACAGCTTGTTTCCCTTGTACTACTGCTCCGGTTGTGACCAGTAGTAATACTGAATAAACATTATAAGATTTGTGCTTTTCCTTTCCAAGTGATCCTTGTATAATTATATATGTGTATGTTTTTATGCAAAATATGAAAGAAAAGTATTACTTTTTTGGAATATCTCCTTACAAATTCTCAAAGAAAGTTTAAAGTTTTGTTGAAGGCTATAATTATATATCATCACTATGGTTGGAAGAACCCATTGAGAGTTTTTTGACAAGCTATGAATATATCATGGAGGAAGTAAAAGAAAATGTCTCTATCATCTCGCAGAGGTACTGAAATGTCGCTTATTTCCTTGGTGTAGAAATGTTGCAGTCATGCTTTAGCTGGTGAAGCCATGGCCCCCATGCTTTATTTTACATAAAGTCAATTTCACAGTATACATAAAGTCAATTTCACAGTATAGTCCGTGACTAAAAATTTTTGCTCAAGATGGAGACATCACGCGGAAAAAGGAAGCACCTTCCTTTCATTAATTCCCATTGGACATTAATATACAAATCTATATATATTACAAATGAGAAATCATTAGGGAAAAGTTTATCATATGTCATATTTATATGTCTTTTTGAATTTATTTTTCTTTTGACATATGACTAATTGACTTTCATTTTTAAGTAAATTTTTTTAAATTTTTTTAAATATGATTATTATTATACTAAAGTAAAAAAAGTAAAAAATATTACACTATTTAATGAGTTATTCTACCTTCAATTAATATATTCCAATTATACATTTAAATTGTATAATAATACATTTTGTTGGCTGCACTTTTCTTTTCCAAGAACATTCGGAACGTTTTTTTGTTGGCTGCACCTTTTTTCTTTTCTTTTTTCCCTTTCTCTGGCCACTTCTTGCAATGATTCCATTTGTCAAAGTCCAAAATTATGGTAAACAAAAAAAATTCAAATTCAAAGGTTAACTAATGCTACTTGATTACAATACTCTTTAGTACATATTTGCTATTACTTTTTGTTAATTTAGATATCATTTTGAATAAAAAAATTGATTAAAGAGACAAATTATTTGAGCTAAATTATATGAAAAAAGCATATACTAAAATATTTAATTCGCAATAATAAAAGAAAAACTACTAGAATGTTTTACTATATTACTTTTCAAATTAAGCATTTATTATTTTTAAACCTAAATTTTTTAGAATTTAAGAAGAACAATTTTATGTTTCAATATTTAAGATTTAACATGTAAAATCTATATATATTATAAAGAAGAAACCATTGAGGGAAAGTTTGCAATGCGTCACATTTATATGTTAGGCGGTACTACAGGATAATCTTTTTATATCACTTTTTTATGTAACTTTCATATATCATTAAATGAGTTGATGTATTTAATATCACGAATCTCACATGAATAGAAAAAACAATCATTCAAATGACATGTTAAGTTGTCCCAAAAATTGGTACAAAAAGGTTATTCCAAAATCATTTTTCCTTTACATGTCTTTCTTAATTTACTCTTCTTTTGACATGACTTTCCTTTTTAAGTAAATTTTTTTCTTTTCAATTCTCTTTTAAATATGATTATTATTATTATTACTAGAGTAAAAAATAAAAAAATAAAAAATATCACACTATTTAATGAGTTATTCCACCTTCAATTAATATAGGTTAAAACCCCATTTTAGTCCCTGAACTATTGTATAGACCCCGATTTGATCCTTGAACTAAACAAGTGCCCAATTTGGTCCCTATTGTTTACCAATTTGACCTCAACTTGGTCCCTCCATTAAAAATCCAATGACATGTCCTATTAACTAATGGGAGCATGATAACATGTCAAAATATTATAACATGTCAGTTGTACACATGAAAAAAAAAATGGGCGATGCTATAGGAACAACGTTCTTATACCACATTTTGATACAATTTCCACATATCATTAAATAAGTGGATGCATTTAAAATCACGAGTTTCACATGAATTAAAAAAACCAATTATTTAAATAACATGTCAAGTTGTATCAAAAAGTGATACAAAAAAGTTGTTTCAAAATTATTTCTTGAAAAAAATGACATGTCATAAAAACATGTCAAATTCCCAACTAGCAAAAAAAAAAAACGTGGGGCCCACCTCCTACCCAAACTCACTATCTTCTCCCCCTTCTTCCCATTTGAACCTTAGAAGAGTAGAGGGCAAACCGCACCAACAGCTATCGCTTGGAACCCAAGCATTGGGGTAAACACGGGTTCGATGAAACTCAGCACGCCTAGGTTCTTTCGAACCCAAGGTAAAAAAATAGAAAAAAAAAATTTTTTTTCTTTTGTTTTTTTTTTTTTTTTTTGGTATTTTTGGTTGATAATGATGAAGAATTGATTGATGAATGGAGATTTGAGAAAGAAGATGCTAGAGGAAGAAGATGAGGGCAAAATTGTAATTTTAGTGAGCCCCACTTTTTTTTTTGGTGTTGAGTGTCATGTTGCCATGTCATTATTTATCCATTTGTACAACTAACATGTCTCACATTTTTTACATATCTTTAAGTTTCTGTGAGTTAATAGTGAATTTTTAATGAAAAGACTAAGTTGGGGTTAAATTGGTAAATAGTATAAACCAAATAAGAGATTTTTTTTAGTTTAGGGATCAAATCAAGAATCTGTACAATAGTTCAAGGATCAAAATGGAGTTTTAACCATTAATATATCACAACTATATATTTAAATTGTATAATAATACATTTTGTTCGTTGCACTTTTCTTTTCCACAAACAGTTGGAACATTTTTTTTTTTTCCAAGAACATTCGGAACGTTTTTTTGTTGGCTGCACTTTTTTTTTTAATCCTTTCTCTGGCCACTTCTTGCAACGATGCCATTTGTTATTGTCAAAGTCCAAAATTATGGTAAATAAAAAAAATTCAAATCCAAAAGGTTAATTAATGCTACTTGATTACAATACCTTTAGTACATATTTACTATTACTTTTTGTTAATTTAAATATTATTTGAATCCAAAATTGATTAAAGAGACAAATTATTTGGGTTAAATTATATGAGAAAAATGTACACTAAAATATTTAATTCACAATAAAAAAAAACTACTAGAATTTTTTACTATACTACTTTTCAAATTTAGTATTTATTATTTTTAAGTCTAAATTTTTTAAAATTTAAGAAGAACAATTTTATATTTTAAGATTTAAGATTTAACATGTAAAATCTATATATATTATAAAAGAGAAACCATTGGGGGAAAAATTTGCCACATATCACATTTATATGTCTTTATGAATTTACTCTTCTTTTCTCATGGGACTTGAGTTTCTTTTTTTTGGTAAATTTCTTTCTTTTCAATTCTTTTTTAAATATGATTATTATTGTTACTTGAGTCTAAAAAAGTCAAAAATACCACACTAGTTAATGAGTTATTCTACCTTCAATTAATATATTACAACTATATATTTAAATTGTATAATAGTACATTTTGTTAGCTGCACTTTTCTTTTCCAAGAACACTTGGAACGTTTTTTTTTTTCCAACACTTGGAACGTTTTTGTTGGCTGCACTATTTTTTTCTTTCTTTCTCTGGCCACTTCTTGCAATGATTCCATTTGTTAGTGTCAAAGTCCAAAATTATGGTAAATAAAAAAATTCAAATCTAAAAAGTTAATTAATGGTACTTAAGTACAGTACCCTTAGTACATATTTACTATTACATTTTATTAATTTAAATATCATTTTGAATAAAAAATTGCATAAAGAGACAAATCATTTGGATTAAATTATATGAGAAAAATGTACACTAAAATATTTAATTCACAATAATAAATAAAAAAAATACTAGAATTTTTTACTATACTACTTTTCAAATTAAGCATTTATTATTTTTAAGCATAAATTTTTTAGAATTTAAGAAGAACAATTTTATATTTCAATATTTAAGATTTAACATGTAAAATCTATATATATTATAAAAGAGAAACCATTAAGGAAAAAATTTGCCACATATCACATTTATATGTCTTTATGAATTTACTCTTCTTTTTTCATGTGACTTGAGTTTCTTTTTTTTGGTAACTTTCTTTCTTTTCAATTCTTTTTTAAATATGATATATTACTTGAGTCTAAAAAAAGTCAAAAATATCACACTAGTTAATGAGTTATTTTACCTTTAATTAATATATTACAACTATATATTTAAATTGTATAATAGTACATTTTGTTGGCTGCACTTTTCTTTTCCAAGAACGCTTGGAACGTTTTTTTGTTGGCTGCACTATTTTTTTTTTTCCTTTCTCTGGCCACTTCTTGCAATGATTCCATTTGTTAGTGTCAAAGTCCAAAATTATGGTAAATAAAAAAATTCAAATCTAAAAGGTTAATTAATGCTACTTAACTACAATACCCTTAGTACATATTTATTATTACATTTTGTTAATTTAAATATCATTTTGAATTAAAAATTGATTAAATAGACAAATGATTTGAGCTAAATTATATGAGAAAAGTATACACTAAAATATTTAATTCACAATAATAAATAAAAAAATACTAGAATTTTTTACTATACTACTTTTCAAATTAAGCATTTATTATTTTTAAGCCTAAATTTTTTAGAATTTAAGAAGAATAATTTTATATTTCAATATTTAAGATTTAATATGTAAAATCTATATATATTATAAAGGAAAAACTATTGAGGGAAAATTTGCCACATATCACATTTATATGTGTTCATGAATTTACCCTTCTTTTGACATGTGGCTTGACTTTCCATTTCAAGAAAATTTCTTTCTTTTCAATTCTCTTTTAAATATGATTATTATTATTACTTGAGTAAAAAAAGAGTAAAAAATATCACACTACTTAATGAGTTATTCTACCTTCAATTAATATATTACAACTATATATATTTTTTTGAATTGGCGAAATATATATATATATATTATATTAAGCATAGTTTACATCCTCAAATAGCAGAAGAAGTAAAATATTAAGAGGCCTATGTGCCCAATATGAGGGGCATTGACCATGAAGTGATGAGCGAGCAATCCAATCTGCTACCCTATTGCCTTCTTGTGGGATAAAATTGAACCTAAAACCAGGATGGCAATAACATGAATGCTTAATACTCATGATAAGAGAGTTAGCCTCC